ATCAGGAACTGGGATGCAGCCCTGTGATGAGTTTTTACCCTTGCAGCCTTGGTGGAGGTGCAGAATGGTACAGGACTCCTCTTAATCCCTGCAAGAGGTCGGGCACTCGAGGTTTCAGGATACCTGCTTGTCCCCAGCCTCCCCTCCCTGTGTGCTTTTCCTTTGGGAAGAGGGTTGGGAAAACTGGGAGGAAGCAAACAGCCTCGCCCATGCCGAGCAAGAGCTGAAAACAGTCCTGTGAGAGGGTGACTGGACAGATGATGGTCTGGAGGACAGGGCCAGGGTGCTGGTCCCTCCTTGCCTGTCTGTCAGGCTGCAGCAGCCCCGTGGGCCAGGGGCTGTGGCACAGGCCCAGCGTGAGCACTCCTGGAAGGGGTCAGAGGGAGCAGGAACCAGGCATCCGCCAGCCGAGCAAGGAGGCTGCTGGCCTGGGAGAAGCCCACTGGCTGTCCGCAGGCAGCATCCAGCCCATCCCTGTGACTGATCGGTGGCATGTAGTGCTGAGACATCCAAGCTTCATGGTAGTGGAGGGGGACACAGTGGCACCAGCTGGCATGGCTCCCCTTCCCCGCCTGGAGACCAGGCACAGGCTGCCTCCGGCAGGGAGGGGGCAGACCCCTGACCCACGGGCACTCGGGACCCATGCAGCTTTGGGATGTGAGAGGCATCTCCCAGCCCACCAGGTCCAAGAGGAGACTCACAGCCTCTGCTGAGTGAGCGATGGGGCAGCAGGAGCCAGGGCTGCCTCCTGTGGGGCTATGGAACAGCCATTTGTTGGTCCAGGCAAGAGATTGCATGACTCACGGCAAGTCTCCAGTTAGTCCTTGGGAGGGATCAGCAGGCGTGAGCAGCCTGTCCCATGAGCGGGGAGGGCAGCTCCCAGATCACACAGGCATGTGCAGCTCGTTGTACTCATCTCGGCCATCCTCATCAAAATTTGGCTCCGCATCCTCTGAGTCCAACTGGGGAGAGGTAGAGATCGGGCTCTGAAGGCCACAGCCGCCCCCAGCGCAGGGTCAAGCCTGGCACGGAGGGATCAGGGCACAGCCTGCCAGGCAGCTGGGCTGTGCTGGGAAGAGTAAAGCTCTTGCTTCTTCCCCTCCCAACATGCTCCTTTTTTTGCCCCTCACGCCCGTCCATGTGTCCCCAGCCTGATGCCCTTTCCTATAAATGTTCTTGTTTGACAGTGCCCCATCACTGGGGCTTTGGTCCAGCACAGCAGCTCCTCCCTCTTCTCCTGCTGTCAGCACCCACTTCTGGGTGCTGCTCCAGGCTGCTCTCCAACAGGAGCTCAGGATGTTGGCAGCAGCAGAGGAGCTGCCAGCACTCCAGCAGCTGCCAGCACCCTAGCATTGCGGTTACATGCTCCTGTGCCAAGCAACCACAGGCTCTGGTGTGCTGCTGGGCTGTCCTTCCTGCTGTCTCAGCGAGGAAATGGGGTGTTTCTTGATGAATGAGCCACAGATGGGGTGAAGGATGGAAAAGGAAACCCTTATTCCAGGCCTCTGCATGGTAGGATCCTCTGTCTCCTTGCCCTAGGGTGCCTATCCATCCCACACTGCACTCCCAGGGCTACAAGCTCTGAGGAAGCCATCCACCCATCCATTGCTGTTCAACAAAGACCCCCAGACAACAGCAGGGAAAGCCAAGGCTTTGCCGGTCCAGGATCTCCCAGGCTTTCAGTCTGCCCAATGTCCTCAACCTTGCTCCAGTGTTGCAAGCTACACTGTGAGGACAGTTATCTGCTTACCGCTTTGAGCTCCCTGTCATGGAAGAAGCGGGGCAGCACGAAGCGTCGCAATGGCACTGTCATAATCAGGACGAAGGGGAAGGCCAGGGATGCCACTGTAGATTTCACCACCCAGAGCAGCACAATGCAGGCCAGTTGAATGCAGGTGAAGAGATTCATTCTCCAGGTCTTCACCTAGGGAGGTAAATCCAGTCTAAGAACACATTATCCTTCCACACAGATTAATGAAGACCCAACTGGCAAAACATAACCCTTCTGCATAGCATAGTACAGTCATGAAACGCTGCTGCACGCTCTACCTGCCTGTACTCTTCAGCAAGGCAGAACTCGGTAACACATCAGCCTCTGTGCAACCTAGCAGCATACTCACCTGGCAGTGCAGTGTCCCTACACCCACTCAAGCAATGCATCACTCCTATAAGCAGTCTGTCCATACAATATCCTGGCAATACATTCCTGCGTGCAGCCTATCAGCATGCTGTCCTAGCGTTGTATCACCTCTGTGCATAGCTTGCTCTTACTTCTCGGCACAAACTTGCAGTCAAGGAGGGTCACCAGGCCAAGCATCACTCTAGCAAAGCACCATCCTCCCCTCACCTGCATCTTCTTCCTCTGCTCCTTGTTATCTGGTTTCCCGCAACCTGCCTTCACTCACCTTGACAACATAGATGTGGTCAGGGTGGTGCTTGGATGGCATGAAGATCAGGAGCAGCCGCTCGTAGAGCTGGATGCCAGTGAGTGATGTAACCCCCATGTAGAGGAAGATGCCGAAGAGCACAGCCAGCGGGATCTGTCGCAGCATGTTCCCCATCACAATGGACAGACCTGCACAGACAGCGCTCAGGGCATGCTGTGTCCCATGCCAGCCCCTCTGCAAGGCACCTTGGCCTCCATCCCTCTCCTGCCTCCTCTCTGTCTGTCCTGGGGTGCAAGGGAAAGGAAGCTCAGGAGGGGTCTAGCTGGAAGGGTTGGAGGGATAGAATGACCACGGGGCATACCGAAGGCTGCCAGGGGAGAGGTGGGTGCAGGCGGGGGCAGTCCTGCAGCGAGTGGACAGAGTGCAGGCTGGCCCGTGGGGCAGGGACGCTGTCAGGAGATTCGAGTGGTTGGCCCTGACCTCTCCCCTCACTCCCTCACCCGAGCAGAGGCTTACCGACAAGGGCAGCGATAAGCACTCCGGTCACACGCTGCTCCTTCACCTCCTCGATCTTGGGCTTCTCTCCTGGTGCGATGGCCTTGCTCATGACTGTCAGGGCATTGACGTGGGTGACGGAGCGCACCGTCGCCGCGGTCAGCCAGGGCAGCCCAAAGAGTGCACAAAGCCCCCCCATAGTGCCAATGAGCAGCAGGTCCAGGTGGAAGCCGGAGCCCTTCAGCAGCTTCCTCTCCTTCTTGCTGACAATCAGCCTGGAAGGAAAAAAAGCACAGGTCAGTGCCAGCCCCAGCTCAGTGCCCAGGGACAGCACTACGGCTGGGGACAATGTTCACTCCCTGGAGACAGCACACATGAGGACAACAAGGAGATGGCTGAGGAGAGGGATGGTGGCTGGCAACCTCAGGTTAGAGGTTTCCTCCTTTGCTTGGCTGAGGAAGGACTCCACCACACTGTATGCCAGGAGGTGAGCCAAGAGATGATGGGAGGACCCAAGAAGGTACAGTCTGAAACAGCCACGATCCTGCCCTTGCTGTCCCACTGGGATGCCAGTCGCATCTCCACACGAATGGCACCAGCACCCGTCCCAGCCTTGCTGGCCCAGGGCTTAGTGATGGTTGGCGTTGGCGGGGAAGGTACTCACGTAGTGATCTGTGTCTCCATGAAGATAAGAATGAAGACCAGGAGGGCAGGGATGGCAGAGGCAAACATCATCCACATTGGAAAGGTCCCACTGCTGCCCATGGGGTGAATGAACCAGCCACGCTTGTGAGGAGATGTGACCGACAGGCCAGAGGGGACATTCAGCTTCTGGTGGTGTAGCCACAAAACCCAGCAGTTACTCATCGATACGGACATGCCCACAGCCTCACACAGGCCTAGCCTTGATCCTCCTGGTCTCCCTGGTCTGAACGCCTCAGATGATGGGACAGCCACTCTGATCCGAGCAGGACTTTCTTATGAATAATCCCCTTCAGTCCCCTAACATGGGCCTGTCTCATTTCCTTTCAGCCACGGGAGTTCCCTTGGTTTTTGTCCAAGAGATCAAGGAAATATCTTCCCTCAGGAACCTCACCCCAATGTCAGTGCTTACAGACCATGGTTAAAATGTTCCTTGACCCCTGCTTGGACAAATCAACTGTCCCGAACTGCCCACCCTTCTCTGAGGTAGTTTTCCAGACTTTCCAAGCCTTTTCTGAGACATTTTTCAGTATTGTTTTTGCAGTGTGGACCCCAGAAGTGGCCACATTCTCTGGACATGACCTCACTCTGATCGTATTCAGAGGGAATATCATGTTTGTTCTCCCACCAGGGACCACACAGACTCCTAGACGTATATCGTCCTGACCCTGCGTTCACCAGCATTTGAACTCTTGGCTCGGCACTGCTCTACAGCAATTCTTGCTATCTGCCTGCGTGAGCACTGCACGGAGAGTTTATGACTTGCATTTATGTTAATCAGCATAAGTATGAATAATATTCCTGGAATGCTTGTACTTCAGCTAAGCTGTGTAACTAAGTACCGTTTTCTCAGAAAGCTTTGTACATATGCTGAGTTAATACTGAAATGATAATGCTTTTGATATAAATTATAGAAGTGTAGAAGGGTATGAAAAGGATGTAACAAAGGGCATGATTAAACCCATCTGATAAACCCAGATTTTTCATTGAAATTTAAACGAATAAAAATGCATTTGGATTCCGTTAAGCCTTGGGCTGTCTTGATAAAAACTGGCATGCTGAACAGGAACTACCTCTTACCCTCTCCCCGATGTTAGTTGAAATAAAACACCAAAACAAAAAGATATAACTACACATCTACTAAAAAATGGGGGGAGAAGGAAACCTGTGAGATAGGTTTGTGTGATAACATTTAAGTTTGTGCATAAACTGGGAAAGAAATCATTGTGTTTAAGATAAAGTGATCAAAATATTTAGTAGCCTATAATGAAGGACAGTATAAATATGTTAAGTACTAAACCCATGACAAGTACCCCACTGAAACCACTCTATATGTCACCCCCTTCAGTGTGTTTATGTCTTGTTGGTTGACTGCAAGATTTTAGTTACAAACAAGGAATTAACTGCACTGAATCTCTGCGGTTCCCTAAAGCCTCCCCAACCAACAGCTGGAACACCAGAGGGATACCAGGGCACTCCAGCCCCTGTAGCTCTGGTCTCAGTCTCAGCAAGACCCTTGGAGCTTCCCTTCAGCGTGGGAGTGAGGACAAGGGGAGCATCTCTCTTTGCTTTGCGCTGTTATGACCAAAGAGGCAGGAAATACAAATCCCCCGTTGCACAAGAGCAGCCCACGGTGCCGCAGGGATCACTGCTGGGCTGCAGGAGGGGCTCTGAGGGTGGCACCGGCACCTACCTGCGTGTATGTGTCAGTGATGGTGTAATCCACCAGCACCATGACCAGGATGGAGATGGGGATCCCAAAGTCTCCGATGATCCGCCGAGCCTGCAGAACAAACACCCTCTCTGGCAAAGGGAACGGGCCGGCTCTGTGCACCCACCATGTTACGGGAAGCCTGCGGCAAAGTGAAGCCCCAGAAGGGGCCAAGCACCACTGCAAACCTGAGCGCTGCTGATGAGCAGGGCGAGGGAACCCAGCCTTGACCCACAGGGCTGCGCATCCCACTGCCCACATCACACACAGTCTTTCAGCCACTCTTAAGTGACTGGCTAATTGCTCCTACTGCCCTATTCGGAGGGAGGTCCAGGTATTACACAGATGCCCTGCATGTAGAGAGATGTCCAAAGGGAACAGGTTATAAGCTCTTCCTCTTATGTTCTAGTTTAACAGACTTGTATCCAGCCAAAGGAGTTTTCCCAAGGTCCAGAGGACTTTTCAGCAAAGCTCACTGGAGCAGGACAGTGCAGATACCACCATCAACAGCCAGCTCGGGTCTGCAGCCCAGGTCAGGCTACCATCCCTTCGGCATGCTATTTAAGGGATTGCTGATGTTTCTTTGGGGGACACTCCAAATGCTCTGGAGAGCAAAGGTCTGTAGGAAGAAGCATTATTTGTTTGGCACGTCCCTTGTCCTGAACATCTGGGTCCCACAAACTTCTCACCTTTCCTCCCAAGAAACGGCTGTTCTTGAACTTGCGCATAAAGAAGGCAATGAAGAAGGTGCCTAGCATGAGGATGAGGGAGAGGAGAGCAGTGTTGGGCTGCATCCTGATTCCCAGTGACATCGCATCGGCCGAGAGCATGCTGGTATTCAGGCCGCTCTGCACATTCGGTGGGTAGAACTTCAGCAGAGGATGTTCTGCAAACACCTGGGCAGGTGAGAGAAGCAGCGGGCACTGTCACCATAAGGAGGGGCAGGGGGCACTGCCACTACGGGGGGCAGGGGGAAGCGGAGGTGTCCTGCTCTTTGGAGAGGTGAGGGCGGTAGATGGTGGGTGCGGACAATCCCAGCATCCGTCACCTCGCCTCGCAACCTACCCAGCTGGAGAGGGCTGGGGAGAGAAAAGTGGCCCCTCTTTAATGCCTCCTGCAGGAAGAGAAGGGTAGACAGATGTTAAGGCTTGTCCTGCCAGCCTCTGTGGTGGCACAGGGGCCAGCTGGGCTGGGGCATGAGAGGTCAGCAAAGAACTGCTCTGCAGAACACCTAGGAAAGTTGTGGCTGAGCTGGCCCTGTTCCCCTGCCTCCTGTATGCTAAAGCAGTAGGTTCCTGGGGGATCGAGAGATGCAGCAGCCCATCTCCCTGGGGAAGGTTCACCTTGTACAGTTTGTAGAAGGTCTCGTAGATAAAGATGAGGGAGATGAGGAAAGCAAAGATCTCCTGGGTGAAGGGCGAGATGTAGCGCACCAAGAAGCTTCCCTCGGCTGCCACAATAATGAAGATGAAGACGATGAGCCACAAACCAATCCACACTCTGCCCGTCAGATACTCAATGCCTTGTGTCTGGCAGAACTGAAATGGAAAGGGGAAGGAGTTACTCACGGCTCGTCAGGCTGCCTCCTGCATCTGCATCTGCTCCCCATTAAGACCAAGACTCTCCTGGAAAAAAGCATCTACATCTGCTTGGGCATCCAGCACAGAGACAGTGAATTCAGGGCTGGAGTCACAGGTAAAGTTGCAGACTTTGCATTAACAGCAGCCAGCTCACACCAAGCAGGTCTTTACCACTCCAGTTTTTGTAACAGTACCTCCTTCACCCTCTGCTGAAGCCATCCCACGCATGATGCTCCCCATCCCACCCACACGGAGGTGCCATTACTCAAACAGAGCTCTCCACTGCTCCATGCACTCAACAGCACAAGCCTCTTCCCTGCAAAGGAGAGCCTGAGCAGCCTGCTCCATCCTGCCACATAAAGGGTACGCTCATTGGGGGCATGATCCCAGACAGGGCCCTGTGTATGTGTGTGGAGAAAAGCCCCCAGGCTGTCACCACAGAACAGACCATCTCCACTGCCTCTGCTCATCCACACACAGCAACACCCAACTACTTCCAGCACAAATCACATCCCTTCCTTTGCAGCCTTCCTCAGTACCACCGCAGACAGTGCCTTCTCACAGGGCAGAGGTACACCTTTGTACAGAATGACTGGGCAAAGAAAAAGTAGTCAGTGAGGAGTGTGGTCACAGGAGAGCAGAGAAATTCCCACTGTGCAATGGCATCACCAGCTCCAAACTCTTGACATACCAAGGTGAAAAATCTAGCTGTAGAAAAAAACATGTTTTAAAAGCCCAGACATGCTAGGAGTCAGAAAAAAGGAGAAGGATGAGACCCACTGCTTGGAGGTACAGTGACATGGGGATGCTTTTAACAGTGAGGAGGTCATGCTACTTGAGAAAGAAACATGTCCATCCTGGTTGGCCAGAATATCTCTGCACACACCCTTGGGCTCATCCTGATAGGAGGGAGTAATGTATGTGGGACATCCCAGATGGGTAGTACACTGAACATTGTTGTGTACCCATACAAGGAAACCTGGACACAGGTCAAAGTTGTGAAATGGTCTTCAAAGGAAGCCCCACGAACAAGAAAGTATCATGGGCCAGTATTTTAGGATACAGCTATAAGCGCTCATAGTGCCAGGATGGGCTGCAGCACAGAGCTGGGGGAAGATGCTCCCCTCACAGTCAGCTGGTAGAGGAGTGCTGTTACCACTGTCACACCTCAAGCCCATGGGATACAGCAACAGGAGGCAGAAGTCCCTACAGCGTGACCTGCAAAGGGTCAGCAGAGTCAGCGCCAGCCCCGGCCAAGCTGAGGGCAGCCTGGCAGGACCCAAGGAGTCCACATCACCAAAGACCCTTTGGAGAGCTGAGAAATGCGGCTGCCCTCTCCAGTGCAAGGGCAGAGCGAGCAGGTGCCAAGGATGGACGCTGCCTCACATGTACCTTGTAAAAAGCTTCTTCAAACACCAGCAGAGGCCCTGAGAAGCCAATGACCAGGAGCGGCTGGGCTCCAAGCAGGGAGAAGAGGATCCCTAAAACCGAGGTGGAGATTATCAGCTCGGAGACCCCCATGAGACCCTCAGTTTTCTCTCCTGGGAAAGAGAACAACGTGTGAGTGTTATAGCCCGGACACAGGCACTGTCACCACAGGCAGGCAGGCAGGCGGCAGACACAGCTCCAGACGGAGGAGGCAGGTCCCCGTCCCATCAGTCAGAGGTCCCCTGCGTTGGGCAGGGAGCACAGAGGGAGCCTGGGGAGCCGAGGCTGGAGAGGCCAAGCGGCAGGGAGGGGACAAGGGAGCAGTAGAGTTGCCGCTCTCCCCGAGCGAGCAGCACCGAAGCCCACCCCAGCACAGCATCACACAGACACAGCCAGTGTCCCAGCGTGCAAAGAGCAGACCAGAAAGCAGGCCCATTACCTAGGAGTCCCCCGAAGGTGATGGCAGGAGAGAGAGCAGCAAAGTAGATGAAGAGAACGGCTGCGAGACACTGGCTGTGCAAGGCGTCTCTGATGTCACTTAGGTATTTGGGTTACCTGCGCTTTATGTCCCGAACCAGACCTCCAAAAAATATCCCGGTCCGCTTCAAAGGGTCGTCCTCAGCTTCCTCCTCTTCTTCCTCAGCTTTCACTTCACACAGCTCTGGAGGTGTACGGAGGGGAGGGCTTGAGCAGGGGAACGCAGGTCCGCCTTTGGGCTGTCCATCTCCCCCATACCCCACGGAGACCTTCCTCCAGCAGCACTAACCTGGTGGGTCCCCTGCAACTGCACATCCCACTGCCCCCAGCTGCCAGAGCTGCCCACAGCCACTGTCCTGCCTCCCCTTGCCCCCCGCCCCGCTGCCCACTGCAGGAGCCAGGCCCCGCTCACCCCTCTGCCAGGCTCTGTGAGGGGAGGGCCCACTGGGGCACGCAGGGCACTGGGCACAAACTCTTTTGCCCAAATGTGAGTGGAGAGACCTTTGGCTTCCTGGACAGCCCCCTCCTTCATGGACTTCTGCTCCCTCTCCTTCCTCTTCCTCAGCAGCAACTTCTGGAAGGTGGCAATGGATTTGAGCAAGTCTTTCCCCTCCACCTCTGATGGGGGGATGACAATGCTGCAGTCCAAGAACTCGTTGATTGCGTTGAGGAGGTCTTGACGGTCATCTGCCATGTATGCAGCCTCATGGAAGTGCTGGGAGGGGCAGGGAAAAAGAGAGAGGGAGAAGGCTCAGACCAAGACTGCATCCAGCTACCTACAGCATGGAAACACAACACTTGCTGTGACCATACAGTAACATCCCGCTCCCTCGACCCACTACTTGTCTCACTACTGCCACGCTGCGACCCACACTCCTGAATCCCTCCTCCTTGTCCTTCTACCCAATGCCCCTCACCTAATCCCATCTCTCTCCTCCCTTCCCTGTCCATCCATTCCAGTGACCTCCTTCCTCCTGCTTTTCTCCCCCAAGCCTCACGGCTCTTGCTCAGGATTGTGCTCCTGCAACATCTCTGCCAGCTGCACGCTCTGACAGACCACAAGCTGCCTCTCATAGGACCTCTCTGTCAATTAAAATCAGATCTGTGCTTCCCAGCTAGCCTGGTGCCTCTCATTCCCTAGGCTTGATGCTACACCTGGCCAGCCTGTGCCTCTGTTCACAGCAGATCACTGCGGCTGCATCAGGCCAAGATCCTTCTCCTTACAAGCTCTGCATGCCATTGCTCGGTCCTGCAGGGCTCCCATTCAGAGCCCAGCTCAGAGACGTGCCAGAAGCCAGGCACCAGAGAGATGAAAGACCTTCCCTGTCTGTGCAGCTCAAAATTAGGACTCTGCAACAGACCGATGTCCTCCTAGTCTGGTCCTGGCTTTGATTTGAGGGAGATGCTGGTGGAGCCCTAAAGCACCGCAGATAAAGCACAAGAACCAAGATCGGAGCAAGGAGCGTAAGAGACTCTTGGGAGTCTCCACATGGGAGAGGGAGGGAAAATAGGAGTCTACAGCATGAGGCAAGCCACCCAAGGGAAACCAGGCAGAAAAGGGGAGATACTCCTGACAGCAAGGGCAAGATGACAAGGAAGGACTCCAAAGAGAGCATGAGGGGACAGCACTGCTGCAGATAGGCAGGGAGGTGCTGGCAAACGGGCAGAAGTGTTGCATTGCCTCTGGAATGTGCCTGCAGAGAAAGGGCTGGAGGAAGATGAACAAGTGAACAGCCTGTAAAGCAGGTAGGGGACAGCTAAGGTCCCTGCAGCATACAGACTCCCTGGAGCCACAGCTTCAAACTGTAAGTGATACCGTACTCTCTCCACGGCGCCAGCCACCATGTAACCTTGCTACGGCCAGCCCCGGCTGCGGCAGCTGGCTCCCCTCTTCCAGCGACAGAGGAGCAGAGGCTCGAATGAGCAAGATCAGCCCACAAACAGAGTGCTGAAGCTGGAATATGGCACCTCACCTCTTCTGGCTGAAAACATCGTCTCAGCTGAGCCCTGTGCAACTCCCTGGAAGGGATCTTTCAGCTGGGAGCCCTTGTTGCCCACAACCCACCTGCTCTGAGTGGACCTTTTAGTCCCCAGTTCAGGGAGAGTTGTGCACTGGTGGCAGGACAGCCAGGTTTGTTACTTGGTTATAGTTACATGGCACCAGCCAGGAGGACCCTGTGAACCTCCGATTCTCCCGTCCTGGATGTACACAGCATGCTCAGATTGTCTTTTCTTTGCCTTTAATTCCTTACTAGGATAATGAATTTCACTTTCCTGCCATCTAGCCAGATGGGGACTTCTAGTAGTGCACATGCTTGGCAGAAAAACCTTCCTGCCTCCTCATCTCTCCTCCTGCATGGATGTGCTCCTCTGCATGAATGCCCCAGCCACGGGACTCAGCTAGAAAGCTTCATCCAAACACCTGACAACAGTCCCCAGGCATTGCTGGGTCTTTTTGTCTGTGTGGCCTGGGCCAGGCGTCATGGTCACAGGCACTGCTCAGCCTCTCCTCCTCTGTTTGTGAAACACCAACTGAATGCAACTCCTCTAACCTTGGGCAGTTCTTTACTCCTGTTTTTAGGTATGGTTCCTTTCTTCACCCCGCCTACCTGTCTCTGTCCCAGCCAAGTGTCTGTCCTACTCTTCCCTCTGTACTGGAAGAGTACTTCCTCCCACTTCCCTCCCTACCTTGGTCGACCCAGGCTGCTCAAAAAAATCCCAGGTGCTCACGCCTGCCTGCCCCACCTGGGCCTTCGCACAGCATCTCTCAGCACTCTTGTCCCAGGACTGACTTCTGAGGAGCTACGGAAGCTCCATTGCCTGTGTCAGCATCACCGCCCATCAGCTCCTCACCTTGTCAGACATGAGGGTGGAGATTGAGCGGCCAATTTCATGGTAGTCCATGTTGGCTTGGCTTGGTCCCAGCAGCACAAAGATGAATCTGACAGGAATCGGGACCTCCAAGACAGATTCCAGGAAGACAGCCTCATTTAGTCGGACAAAGGCCATAGTTGGCTGCTCCAGGAACTGCACACAACCTACCAGGGAGCAATGTTTTGAGCAGTTAATCATTGGGGTGAGCTGTACTGGGCTACCTTTAACAGTGGGAACAGGGATTTTGGGGGTTCCCACGAGGTCTGCTGTCCTGCACTTGTCTCCAGACCACTGACACGGCATTGAGCTTCATGCTGAGGACTGCTCCAAGTCCCCTGTTCACTGGTCATCCCCAAGCAGTGCTACTTTCTTTAGCTTCCCAGTTAGCCCATTCTTAATCTCTTACAGATGGGCTCTACTTACACTGTAAAGGGCTAACTTTAAATCGGAAGGTTGTTTTTCACTAAGTCACTGCCTTATGGAAGGAAGTCTTTTACATGTTACTTTTATCAAACAAACTTCTAATCTCATCAAAGAATGAAATCGGGCTTGCTTGACATGACCTATTTCCCATAAACCTCACTGCTTGGCAATAATTACATTCTTATCCTTTAGCTCCCTTTATTAATTGAATCCCATATTAGCTCTGCTGTTATGTTGGCCAAGAAGGATGCCAGGTTAAACAACCTATAAGTACTGGATCACTGTCCTTCCCTTCTTGAGTACTGAGCTTTCTTCTGTTTTTCTCGTATGTTCCCCATATTCCCAGACTTTTTTTTTCAGATGAAAATGAGCCTGTTCTCTAAAGACTCATAGGTGCAAACTGCACAGTTTGTTTTACAGTGTCCACATCTTGTCAATGCTTGGCAGCCTCCTCGGTTCCTAACAGATTGGGAAGTACTCCCGCATCCTCTGGCACACCAGCCGCTTCCTTCCCATATTGAACACAAATGTTTATTGAATACTTGTATTTCTCTGGCATTATTACTGATCTTTCTGCCATCTGCGTCCAGCAAAGAGCTGTGTTCTGTGTTAGACTGGCAAATCCAGGCCATACGAGCAGCCAAGCAAATCCTAAGACACAGCCTGCCCTCAGAAATGACCAGTGTTTAGTTATCTGAGTATTTAAATTGCATTTATGAAGCTGATTTGGCCTCATTGTGGTTAAGCCACAGCTTGGTTGAGCTGCCAAGCCTCTTTGCCTGAGCTTTTCATCTACTGGATAGGCAAAGACATTTACTTTGCTTGTAGTGCAGCTATGTTTGCTGAGATGTTAATGCCAGCAAAGTGCCGAGAAGGACTATTGCGGTCAGAAGGCACCAAGCCCACTGATGCTCGAGCCGGCCGGCTCACAGCCCTCTTGTACAGAGAAATATCTCCTGGCAGCACTACGGCCGATACCCAAGACCTTGCCACCAGCCAGGCCCTGCTTCCATAAACTCGAAGCTCCCTGGCACACACAACCAGCAACCAACACCGGCCAGGGGCAGGGCCCAGGTGCCGGCGAGGTGTGAAGAGGCCAGATGGTGGGCAGCCATGGTCAGAGGACAGCGTGAGGGCTGATAGCAGTCAGGGCCTGGCCACCAGTCCCTCGGGCACCACTGACCCACTGCTGAGCTGTAAAACTGGATGTTCTGGTGAGCCTGGCGGGACCTTCTCCCCTAAGTTGGACCCCAACTCCCCACAGCAGTGTCTACCAGCCTCTTTCTTAATTTAGGAAAAGAACTACCCTGGCACCCCATACATTTACCACAAAGAAAATGTGTGCCGTCACCAAAGGAGAGAGCGTACAAGGCTCCCTCTCCAGCTGAACTTTGGGAACATGTACTGCATGACCAAATGCCCCTCAGAAGGGAGGGCACAGACAGCTGGGGCGAGACCAGGAGCTGTGCTAGTCTCTTTTGGTGCTGGGGGTCTCTACATGCCACCTCTTACCCACAAGGACCACTGTGGCCTCCGCATCTTCAGGGATCTTCTCCATCAGCTTCAGGTATTTACGGTGGCCCTCAGAGTTATGGAGATGTGGGTTTTTCTGCCAGGGAAGAATACAAACAAGTAAGGACGAAGTCCCCATGCCTTGGTCTCCCTACACAGACTTGCAACCCACTGGCACATCTGCAGCTGGGCTTGCCTCGGCTGCACCACCGACACCCTGCTTCACAGGCAAGGCACCCTCAGAGCAAAGGCCACCCTGCACATGCCAGGGCCGTTGCTGCCATTGCATGCTCAAGCAGACATCTGCGTACAGTGTGAGGCTAGAATTAGGTCCCAAAATCATAATGCAGCAACCTGATTTCCAGCACTCCAGGTGATCCAGGGGAGCTCAGCCCTTGCAAGTACAAGGGCCCTATGAAGGGGCCCAGAGGTGGGTGCCAAGGGCTGTCGCCAGCCAACAACCATCCCCAGGGAAAGGAAAAAGAGCAGTAATCCCCCACGTCACCCTCACCTCCTTGCACTCGGTCTCATTGGCCTTGGGGTCGGCCATCTCAATGCGCTCCTCCCCCATGAGGGGCACGCAAGTGTCAGTGGTGTGGTTGTGGTGGTGGTTCCCCACGATGGAGTTCATGCTGGAGCTGGAGTGGTTCCTCGGGAAGAAGCCCTCTTTCTCATCATTGGGGTGGCTGAGGGGGAGAGTGGTGGCCATGAGGGGACCCTCCTCCCTTGCCACCTGGCGCTTGCAGATAACCCCCCAGCCTTGGCAGCCCTCAGCCACATCTCACCCACCTGTGCTTCAGCAGCAGGGCGCGCAGCACGTTGGCTCGGTCTTCTGCCCTGATCTGGTCAGAGATGATCATGGTCTCCACCATGAGGTGAGCAATGCCGGGCAGAGTGGTCTGCTCCAGGTCGAGGAGGACGGCACCTGCCAGCGGGAGGGGAAGAGCCCTGCTCTTAGTGTGCAATGCCCCCCGCCCCACGCACTCTCTGGGGACACGGCTGTCCCACCAGGAGCCAGGCTTTGGTTGGGGTACAGGTTCTCTCAGCTGAGAAATGCCCCAAGTCCAGGTGTCCCACGTCCTCTCTGTAAACCCTTGTCCCAAGAGAACCCAAAAGCTCCGAGATGCACTGGTAGCTCTGCTATCTCCCTCTTGTTTTGGTCTCCCACTTCGACCAAACTTGCCTTTTCACACCAAAGATGGGTCCAAGAACCTGCTGGCCCAGGCACAGCTGGGTGCTGCAGCTGCCATATGCTGAGGGCAGCAAAGCAGAGCAAGGAACCAACACAGGCACCCTTGGGCTAACTGCAAACCCTGGCAAACAGGCTGCAGGATGGTCTGGTCTCCACAGACCCTGCATGGAGCCTGGACACAGACACTGTTGGCATGTCTCCAGTGAGGTGCCGAACAGTGACAGAAGCTGTCCAGCAAAACCCGTCCCAGAGCAAGACACAAACCCTGGCTTGCAGTTCCTGACTCACCATGGGCAATCGTCTTTCTGAGCTCCAACAGGCTCCGGAAGGACAGTGAAGCCACGTGGGGCTTCCCCCACCTTGCTGTGTCTTCCTCCACATCCTCCTCAAACTTGATCCAGCGGGCTGTCTCCCTCCAGTGCATCTCCTGGTTCTTATCCACCACCAGCTCATTCAGCTCCACAAACACCTAGTGTGAATTATAGCAAGGACATGAGACTTCCCCTGATGCATACAGCTCTATCAGCTGTACAGGGAAAGCCTCAGGTTTGTTCTCGAGGTACTGCTTGATCTAAAGTGCCGCCTGAGCAAGCCTGCCTTAGTTAACCAGAGGTTTAGTGAAAAGAAGCAATCGGGACAAATATCACTGGCAGCGTGGCAGGAGCTTCTATCAGCACATGGAGCACCAGAAAACTCCAAGACAGATGGTGTGGGTAGAGGAGAGAGAATGATGCAATGTTGCATCCCTTTCTACCAAACTGTGACAATTTTGTCCTCTGCCGGCTTCTTGGTTTCCCCCAAAATTTCCCCCACTTACCAGAGATAGTGACATTACCGTGCTGCCAACTTCCACAACAGCACTATCATTTCTGTGACTTTTTAACATCTTTCCTATGGTCAAAGCTTTGTGATTTCAGAGAAATCTCTGCTTTTATTGAAAAAAAGTGTATTTTTCAGCCCTTATGATGACAGGTAAGAGCTTGAAATGTCACCCCAAGGTCATGTAAAGAATTAATTATATTTGAACCACTTTTATCACTTTATAAAGTGCCTGTTTCTAGTGTTGATATATGGCTTCTAAACAAGTGCGGGAGGACAGCACATGGATACCTCATGGGGCTTTCTATCCAACTTCTTCTTCTTCTTCTTTTTCTTGACAGATGGAGTCGATGCTAATTTTTTGCTTGTCCTGGTGATCTGACTCCGAGATGGTTTTTTCATCAGATGCCTCCTCACACCAGGGTTATCTTCAAAACGGTGGCCTGAAGACATGGGAAAGGAAAAAATACCATCAGTTCGTCTACTGGAAACACACTGTCTGGCAGGGATACACATCCAAGCCCACCCTTCTCTCATTAGCTTACGCTAGCAAAGCCCTGGCAGCTGGAGCACTCACCATCATCCTCCAGACCTTTGAAGATCCTTCCTGCCTCCTCTGCCTACTTTCAGCTCTTCCAGACATCTGTGAGCTAACTCCTTCAAGAAGAAGACTTCTTCCCAGGCTGTGCATACACTGGAGCATCGTTGCAAAAGCTTTTATTCATGGTACCCCAGTAAGTGGTGCATGAACCCTCCCCATAATCCCTCAACAAAAAGCAACCTGCAGCCTTGTCTGCACAGCTCTGCACCCAGACAGCACAGGCAGGCACCTGGCTGGGGCTCATTTCTCCCACTGGAGGAAGGCCTGGTGCTCAGCAAACATAAAGGGCAGTGAAGGGGAAGGATATTTAGCTGCTGATCTGGGAGACATATGGAAATATCAGTGACTCTTTTATTTAATTGTGCGATGAGACTGTGGGATAACAATGCAGACCGCGGCTGGCACGGAGGCTGGGGAGTTAATGCCAGCTATCGCTGTTTCTAGATGATCCGCAGTGCTGCTGTAATGCCCTCGGAAAGTTCTGCGTTAGAGTTTGCCTGGCTGAATCAAAGCCTCCTAAAGCCTCCAGAGAGGCTGTTGAGGCTGCATTACAGACCCACCACCAAGCTACCAGTGCTGTTGGCTAGCCAGCACCCACCAAAACCTGGCCACAGCCGTGCCAGTCCCTTTAGCAGTGCCAGAGAAACAGCACCTGGGCAACAACCTGCCATGGAGAGTAGTTTCCCTGGACACTACCCAGAGACAGTAGGTGTATCTTCCCCAGCACAGACCGCCCACGGGGATGGGGAAAGCCTCAGAGCCCAGCTCCAGGATGGGCAGACTCTCCCAGGTAGATCACGGAGTCAGAGGTTTTGCTCAGCTTTCGTTCTTCCAGGCTTACTGGCCTTGCTTGTAAGGCAAAGCCAAGGTCTTCTCCCTGGGGCAGCTCTTCCTTGGCTGGGATGAATGTTCAGTCTCCACATACATTTCTGTACTTTGCTTCAAGACCTGCAGCTTGCGGGGCATGAGAGGTAGCAAAAAGCACTGGGTTTGAAGGCCAGGTGGGGTCTTTGACGTTGCAGGAAAACATCCGTGCATCTCTGGCATGGAAAGACACACCCATCGTGAGGCCAGGCATACCATAGCCTTGCTCCTTGGAAATCTGGGTCGCTAAATTAAATATAAAATGAATCAATACTGAGCCTCAGGGCATTTTCCCCCATTGGCTGCCCTGATGATGCACGTCCCGCTGACGGCTGGACTCCTCCCTGCTCCACTTACTGCACTGCAATGTCGACAGGAGCCAATAACTGCCCACCACTACGAACATTTCTGGGAGCTGGACACATGTGGGGCTTCCTTGGACTTTTGCATGGATTTCTCAGTTCCTGCATGCATGGCAGCCACTTCATTGCACTCGATGTGAGTTCGTGCATAAAACAAACAGTTGACCAGGCAGATGATCTTGGTATCTGGCATCTTTGCTCCAATCCCTGCAGCTCCCGATTCTCCCATGAATCCTGGGACTCATTCTCACCATGTCCCTGGAAGACCAGGGAGGAAGCTCTGCCCAGCAAGACAGAGCACTCACCCAGAGCACGGCAAGCCTCCCCTGTGGTGACAACCACCTCCTAGGCAGAGCTCTTCAGCAACAGCCCTGGAAAGCTCTGAACACAGGTGTTCAGTCTCAGCCACCAAATGGCTGGAGGACAGATAAAATTAAAGGAGCCAAGTTTCCTGCCAGCATCTCCAGTGCCTCCCACACTTGTTGACAGGGACAGGAGCCGGAGCGCTGCAGGCTCAGAGGAAGCCCGTGAAGGCACACCTCCAGAGCCCTACAGAAGACTAAGGAGCGACCCACTTTGCTGCTCTCCCTTGGCAGTGCTTGTGGCCACTGAGATGCCAGCTGGGGGAGACAACTCATAGGAGCAGGGTGGACACATGGGCTTAATTTAGGAAGAGGCCACTGGCTTTGGGAGTCCCATGCAGACCCCAGCTGAGGTGCTCCAGGCTGCTCTACAGAGAGCCTTTCTGTGTCCCATCAGATTGGTCCTTCCCCCAAATGAAAGTCAAGCTCAAGTGAGCACCTAAGTCTGGAGTCCTTACTCAGGACAGGATCTTGGACTGAGACCAAAGGGTGGGGTACAGATGCTCCCACGCAGCATTTCCTACAGTCTCCTCCAGAATATCTTCTTGCCACGTTGGCTTCCACAGTCAGATTTCTTGGGATGACCAAGTTCCTTTTCCACCAGCTTAAATCTGAAGACGAGAAATAGGACTTTGCCCTGGTGAAAATCTCCCCCAGAGTGCCTGTGCTAGCCAGTCCAACTCAGCGGACGATTGGCTTCAATTCGTGCGTTAGCTCCCGCTTCCCTGCTTTCATTACCCTCTATCCACAAGCAGGAAGCCCAAAAAGATGCATCAGAGTATTTGTACGACTAACAGAGAGCAACTTGCTAGCCCGGTGTAACAGGGACGGTGCATACTTCCCATGTACCCCAATGGTTAAGTTATGGCAAGAAAAAAGAGATCGAAACCCCATCTCTTGGAATATTTAAACTTAGACTAAACAGAATGCTAATCAACATACAGTAAGCCACAACCCTATGCTGGCTTCTGGAAAAAGCTACCGCCCTGCCCTGCACAGAGGCCAAGTCTCTCCTGGCTGATGCTGAGTTCAATGTGATAGGGACAGCTGGACCCCAGCTCATCCCTGCTGCCACCCAGGCGTCCCTGCACAGCACTCCCCATGCTCCAAACACTAACAGAACTGCAAGGAGACCAGCTCAGGTCCAACAAGGACTCTGCTCAAAAGCTATTAAATTTTTCCTGGATGTGAGGTGGTCCTGGGAGAGGTACTGCCATGGAGCGAATAGCTGGGCAAGTGGCACTGGCTGGACGTGAGCTGGCTCTGCACAGCACTGACTCTGGTCTCTCTGCCACCTCTGCCTCTGCCCTGTCTCTCTGCAGGATTAATCCACAGTGTGGATTCATTGTGCAGAAATAATGAAGAGTTGACTGCACAGCGCATCCTATTTCAAGCACCTGCAATATTAGCTGTAGCAATCAATGAATGTGTTAACTGCTAGCAAGCCAAACTTCGCCATTTTATAAGTGATGCATATCACACCTTGCAGAAGCTATCTGCCCGTTCTACCTTCCCAAGAATAGCCATCCTTTCCCAGGTGAGCTTGGGGCATTTTCTCACACTTTTAATGTACAGTTTTTTCAGCTCAGGACAGCTGATGGAGCCAATTTGCTCCAGGTTTCTATTTTGAACTTTGCTGCTATTATACTGTCTATCAATTTACAGTAACAAGTAGCAGGCCCAGCCAGAAGCAAATCTCTACTCGCTGGTCCCTGCAGAAGCACAGAGGCAGACACTTCTTCTCCAAAGGCTTGTAAAGATGGGCCAGCTGAGAAAGAGAACATGCTGCTGGGACTGGGAGGCAGAGGAAGTTAAGTGTTTTTGCCTGAGATCACACAGAAAGGCTGTGCCAGAGCCAGAAGCTGAACCAAGGCATCCTGAGTCCTTGTTTCAAGCACTTTGCCTCCCCACTCCTGCGTGCAAAGCCGGTAAGTGGGCTAGTTCTGGGAACACATCACCCTCCCCTGTGCACTTCTAAAATCCCTTGAAAAATTAACACATGACCCAGACGAGGACATTTGGGCAACCACCACAGAGCTATGGCTATGAACAGTGCCGCTCTCAAGGTGACACACAAAGCCACCTTTTAACTGGGAGTTACCACCGTCTGCCAAGGCAGGACCCCCTGCGCGAGGTGGGAGCGAGGCTCCGGTTTCTGCGCAGTCCCCAGGACGGCTCAGAGATCCAGCTCTCTGCAAGGGACGGGCGGGTACGGAAACAGATGCGGAGAACAGAAAGACGTTCTTCG